ACCTGTTCAATGACTATAGATGACCTTGACCATGTAGCAAAACAATACGGCCTCACGTTCTGATGGTCACAAGTCCGTTCCACGCAAGATTTGTATACCATTTCAGTATCATTCATTCATAATTTAAAAGTGTCGGTGGAGCTCTTGCCACTTTCCGCGAACTTCCATCATGCTCTTTAAATGTTGATATGACACGACTCCCATTTTGTCTTTAATTTGTTTGATGTAGCTGTGCCTTGGTCTTCCCCTCCCCCTCTTTCCTTCTATTTATCCCTCAATAATAATTTTCATAAAATCATCGTGCCGCAATAAGTGTCCTAACATTCTTCCTCTTCTATTTTCTATTGTATTCAATTCTACACAATTTCACTCAAATCCTCTTCTTGTGAGTATTGACTAGTACGTGCAGTATAGAAATGTTATAACACGACAACGCTGCTCCAGGATGAGCTTCAGGTTTTACATATTACCTCCGACGATCACTATCATACCAACACATACTGTTCTCGCCGAAGCGAAGACAACTATGCCACACTGGCACCTCTGGTCGCCCCTCTGTTCCCGTTACATTCAAACGGGAGCGGAGGAAGGAAAAGGTATTGTTAGTAATGTGGACTGATGACCACATTGCCAGCAATATATGGTATATTACTGGCAATGGGGTCGTCAGGTTGACCTTCACGCGGTTTCCTTAGAGTTGATAAATTCCGATGGAAAAACGACTTGAATTTTATTTTGTTAATATAATATTATGAATGTACAATATAGTTTTATAAAAGCGGCGATCTAACTGACCAGACCTCATGTTTGTGATATCATCCTCCACTGGTACCCCGACAGCATAAACTGTAGGCGCGTTGCATCATTCCATTTTCAACAATGAAAAAATACCCGTAGCGGTGTCCTCAAACTAAAGTCGTATCGTTAGGCAAGAGTGGTCTTCAGCCGCTCCATAAGTCCTTTATTAGTAAGAGTTTGGAGTGTTCTCTGCACCACCTCCTTTTTCCTCCGTTGAAGTTGTAAAGTTTAGCCACGCCCATTAGCTTTTATAGTCCAAAAAAAACATTAGTTCTCGGAAGAGTCACATCACCTCGTCGTCGTATCCATGGTGCTTTCATATGTATAGGTGACGTTATCACTTACCATCATTATTTATCCATTAGTTTGTTTTCAATTATAGTTACTTAAAAAAAAGTAATTACTTTATAACTAGGTGACTATAATCAAAGACTATTATAAATTTTAGTATCGTCGATAAATTTGGGGAATTGCGTTTCAGAATTGACCCCGCACTGCCTCGTGGATTGATGTTTTTCTTTTTTTTACTTGTTATTTAATAAGAGGAGATAATTGGTCAGGATATCAAAGAATAAGTACTTGGTGAACTTGAACCTGAGGCCCGTGACTGTACAAACATACAAGCATAATAAAAAAAAACAAACATCGGTTTTATCCGACAATAAGTAGTAGGTACCTACCCATTTACGAGTACATTTTTAATACTATGATTATGGCAAACAAACATACGACTCATCTGATGGTAAACAGTTACCGAAGCCTATGGACGCCTGAAACATCAGAGTTATCACGTACGCGTTGCCGACCCTTAAGAAACCTTAATATACCCTTGAAAAACCTCATGTTGTAGTTTTTCGAGAAATCTCGATAGTTCATTCCACAATCTACGTGTACACGGGAACAAGCTGCTCTGAAACCGCACTGTCCGAGACCACTTAGGATCCAGCGTGTGGAGATGAATTCCCTGGTAATGGCGAGCGGTGCGATAGTAAAAGGTAGCCGTAGGCATCATGTCGAACAATCCTTCAAAACTAATATATTTTTATCTACCTAAATATAATGGCTAGTGGCTCTCTTGGTGGTACATAAATAGTAACTGCCGCCTATGTAGGTACATAAACAGCACCATGGAAGTTAAAGCTTCATGTGGTAACAACCTTATGTACTGGCGTACTGAAGGTTACGATAATTATTTTTAAGATACATAAAGTAAAGAACATGCTGCATTTTCTACCAGGCAACCATAAGTAATGCAGAGAACAATTGTTGATAGATATCACATAAACGTGAATACATTTTAATCTGGAATCAGTTTGTAAAGCTGCTCAACTGCTGTAACGGGCGAGACAGTTGTATCCACAGACAACTTCATTCAATGTTTATCATAATCTATATCTATACTAATAATAATCAGATGGGCATGGCTATTTAAACTGTCAATGTTGTGGTGAACATCACACTTGACACGCCCACATTTGTGTAGGTACACTTAGTATAGCTGTTTGAATGTAACTAAATCCTTTTTTATACATTGTATCAAGTTAGGTGTTTTGAAACCTTTAATAAACGTTTAGTACACATTAATTATATAGTTAAACGGGTTTTAATAAACAAAACTATAAACGAATAATTTTATATCAAATAAAGGTATTTATCTATCGGCGCCGCGGCGTTTCGACTAGGTTGCGCTAACCACAGTTAATAGTAACGTGAAACGAGTAATTATCAGGCAATTAATAGAGCTCGGATATAGCTTTTTTTTATAATATGATGGTGGCAATCAAACATACGGCCTATCTGATGGTAAACGAGATTGTACATTAGGACTTTCTAGTACCAACAAGAAACTTATTTTTTTAATATTAGCCATAAATACTGGTAACAGGGGAAAAGGGGATTCTCAGTAATGTATACTAATAGCTCTATTGCTAGCAATATACAGTACATTGCTAGCCAGGTTGACCTGCTCCTTGGAAACCATCGTGATAAGTTTATGGTGACTTTGCCACGATGGACTAACTGACCTGATCTCATGGTCATCTTATTATCCTCCACTGGTGCCCCGCCAGCGTAAACCGTTAGCGAAGGGTACATCATTATATTATCATCAATTAAAAAAAATGGTTGTCTATTACTTACGAGATAGCGTTGTAAAATACATACATTGTGTACACACACTTTTCCAAAAATTGCCTATTACTGAAACGGTACTGTGTTCAACAGAGTTCTTGAAAATATCATCCTGAAATCTCTTCCTATCTACAGGTTTTTTTCTCGGACTACTCCAATGCTGTTGCCCGCTGTTGGCCTCAGCTGGCCTTTACAGCTTCACCGGACGATAGGGGGCGAGTGCAGATGGCTCTCCAAACCCGCGGAAGTACTTATGCAGTGGCTGAAGGCCAGCTCCCGCCTGACGGATACGACTTTAGTCTGAGGACACCGCTAGGGGTTCGAACCTCGGCTCAGGCCGTCGTAATTTTGATCCCCGTTTGAATTGGACGGCGGATCGATCGGATGGGAATCCACAGGTTAATGGGCGGAAGGACTATAAGGGTTCCGTTTCGCAATAATGTTGTAGTACCCTAAAATTTCATATATTACATAAATTACCCTGTGATATGAGATTCGGTCTTTCTCGATACCCACATCCGTATAATAGTACCTACAGTAGGTACATCAGAAAAAAATATTTACAACGAAAATCTGTTTATCTGTATACCAATCGTACTTTAAACTCTATCATTATATTAATAAGCATTACCTCCTCATTACTAAGTAGGTAAACCTACTACATGTAAATTTCATTCTTGATTTGTATATATAACCATTTTACCTAAACAACATATTAATATTTCATTTTATCTCAAGTCCAGAAAGTCATATTGGCAGATACAAACCGACTCAAACCGGCCTCCCGGTGGTCTGCTGTGGCATGGGGTTATCGCTCCCCGGTACCAGGTTCGAGATCCGTGCCGACCTACTTAGCGATCAATGATCGAGAAACGTTTGCGTAATTAAACCCTTAGCTCATGTAGTAGAGGTCCGATCGGGAAAAATTGGTGTTTATTTACCGTTTAGTTTCATTGATGGGTAATTACGTATTACATAATTGTTGTTTTTAATATATCTGCTCAATTTAAGAATAATAATAGGTAATGTAAAGATGAAGAAGATTTTAGCGTAATATTTTTTTAAATTAATGATAATGGAATGGTTCTCTTTTCACCCATCACCCATCCCAGTCACCCACCAACCCATCCAGTTCACCCATCTGCGCTAATGGTATACGCGGGCTCCAGTCTAAGACAATACAATGAACATGAAGTCAGGTCAGTTAGCCCTTCGTGACAAATTATGGAATTTATCATGATGGTTTCCAGGAGGATCAGAGTGGAGGTCAACTTGACCTGGTACATTGCTAGCAATGGGGATTAAAAGTCCACATTACTAACAATCCTCTTCCCGCCTCTAGAGCTAGATTTCCTAAATGTCGTTCTGCGTAGGTAGTTCTATCACTTCTATTTTCACAACTAAGCCGTTGGCTTTTGTTACCTGTATTTTGGCTTGAAGTGTGAAAGGGGCATGAAATTACAAGTTACACCTAAGTCGTTATGAATGATAATGAACAATTAATCTATAATGTTTGGGGTCCTGGTCATTTGTTTTCAGGCGATTTTCCATAAGGCTGTTTGCATTTTAGTTATTTAAAAAAATTACGAAACACGTTGTATCTACTTACAACATTTTAATAAAATCAGATAAGAGGATAGAAGTACTTTTCTCTAGAGAAGGTTCTGTATTAGAAGACTAGACCCCGTGAAAAATAGCATAAATCAATTAGAGAATTGGCCTCAATTTTATGTCCATATAGATCATAATTTCCACAACGGATATTATTATTCGTATCCAACTTGACCGAATATGTGTTGAATATGGATTGAAATATGATTAAATAATTTATCCATATTTAACAAGCAGACAGTCGACTCTCTAGCCATATTTTTTAAAATGTAAATAATAATTATCATAGCGGCATTAATTTCTCCATCTACGGAAGTTAATTGAGAATAGATGGAGTAGCTACTATCCTCTATCTACGAAACTGCAGACACCATTGGTCAGCTGTCAATGTCACTGTCAAACATGACATTTATCTAGTCGGAACTGTCAGTCAATCTGTCATAACATTGATATTTGTAAATATTGCACATTTTCTTGAATTGTTTATCTATTCAAAAATAATTGATAAACAATAACTACACTAAACATTAACTAATATAGGTTAAATGGCACACAAACATCGTGACTTCTGAAATCTACGGCTAATTCATTATGGATTTAGATGACCCAAGAAGACCATTACTAGGTATGTTAAATCCAATTGTTATATCATTTTTGTCATAAGTATTTAATAATGAATTAAAATAGAAATTAATGGTTTAAATATAGAACATCATAACAAAGAGATAAACATGGTTGTCAAACTTCCTGGTAATGGCATGCTTTTTAATGGATGATGATTGAACGGTGCTTTAGCGCTTCTCATACAATATTTGTATAAATGTACATAATTGTGAATAACATTTATTTATAAGATGAAAAACGTCATGTCTTGCTCATTCTTCTTGTAATGACACTGCATTCCGAATGAGTGGTAGAATAAAAAAAAGTTTATTTGAATAAAAATTGTTTATATTTCTATTTGCCTATACTAATGGTGTAAGGTGGCAGTTGCCGGTGAGATATGAGAGTAAGAGGATGAAGTGGATCAAATCTCTTCTCTTCTCTTTCAGCATATATTAGTCCACTGCTGGTCGTATGCCTCTTGCATAATTTTCCACTCATTCTGTGTTTCATGGATCAAATACAAGGGTAAAATTCTACAGGACTTCATCATGACGGTTTTCAGGGTCATTATATTGTTATGTTAATTTAATGAACAAATTCACCATATAGAAAGGAAATATGATATGATATATGATAATTGTACATACATGCACACACATACACATACTCACAGTTACATACACCCTCACATATACTATTTTGTTGTCTAGTCCGAATTTTTCTAATTCTACTCAAAACTTGTAAAGTGTCAAATTACCCATGAGCCGAGTGTGGGGGCGGAACTCTGTAACAAAGTTTTTCCTAGCACAGATTCCGTTCCATTCTCTTATATTGTTATATTTACAGAATGTTCATTGTTAAAACAATATTGTGAATACTTATAATAGAATGGAATAAATTTTTTTTATTATTATTATTATTAATATATCGCTATCAATGGGGCCTCAAGACCTCATTACAATATATAACAAGCATCTCCTTTCGTAACTTTGTTCCTAGTACTAATTATTGAAACAAATGTTAATAATAACACAATGTTATGGGTACCAAACAACTGATATAAATACATAGATATTTTTAATTAAATACATACATAATATACACAAAAAACCTACCAAGAAGATTCAAACAATCATACTCGTGAATACAAATGTTTGTACAGTGAGCGGAATCGAATATGCAACCATTGAAAGTAGGTTGGCATGCTAAACTACTAGTTCACTGAGGCTGTCAAAGCCAGAATAGTCACAATATCACCCACAATGATTTTCAATAAACCATTTAAGAACTGCGAGCTGAGTTGCTTGGTTTGTAACAATAAAGTAAATTAACAGCAAATTTATTATTATATTAATCTGTTATATTTGTTATAGTGCGCCACCCTCAAATAAGGGGATAAAGACAAGGCAATGGATGATGATATTTGACAAGTGTTGTTAGCATTATTACATGAATAAGAGCCTGGATTTGCTGACATCCTGGTAGCATAGTTTTATAATTTATATTTGTTAAAGAATATATTTATAATTTTTGTATATAAATATATGTATATTACATTTTACCATACATTCAATAAATAATATATGTATTAATAAATTTTTGAAAATATCAATCCTGATAACTTGTTATGGTGTGACTCAATATAATTATTGCGGTATATGTGCATCAACAACACCGGTGGAATTGTTTGACCATTTGGTAACATAACATTTTTCCTGTAAACATTAATTACTGTTCTTTATTATTAATCCCTTCCAAAAGCATAGTAGTTACCTGTGTATTACACAAGACAATTACATTATTAGATCCAATAGCTTCCATTTTTTTGTAAACGCATTGGTTGAAAAGCCACCAGTCAATAACATCTAATCTATACATATCATAAAACACGCGCACATAAGTCACGCGCCACGTCTGTCTGTATGATCGCGATAATTTCAAAAACTACTAAACGTAATTAATCGAGTTCATTCTGAGAAGATGTATAGGTGAAGTTTTTGTACAAACTAATTCAAGTACCTACTCTTGCAAAGGGATAATATATCTCTAGTATTGTATGTTGGACACTCTGCATTTAAGCTCTCGTTCGGGCTGTTGTGCATATAGAGCCGATACTATTAGAGCAGCCAGCTCCACTCAGTAGCGTAGAAGTCTGGTGTCTTCACAGCCTTCAGAGCGACCTCACCGTTCCGAGGGCTTGTATACATTGCTACGAATTCCAGGATCACGTGAGCGGCCGTTTCTTCGCCTTCAAAGCAGCCCCGACAAAGGGGACTGTTTGTAGCACCTGGTGTGTACAAGTGTTTCCTCATAGGACAGTAGCCCGTTATTGTCCCTATCATTGTTCTGAAGACGGGTCGCTAGTATCATATGTAAGTCGTTGTTGAGTTACCTGTGATCCCCACTCCCAAATGTGTTGGTTGGAAGCAAGAGTGGTGTAGAATATGAGTTACAATACGCACGTGTATACAACAGTGCCGGTTCCATTTCGTAATGTTCGAACTAGTGCAATCACGAGGGCTAACGAGCATGCTATGCGGTGCGCCGCCTTGCGCTTTCGAATCTATCGAAGCGTTACTTCAGGTGGGAATCTTGAAAACAAATAATTATATTGTTTTAGTGTTAGAACTAAATGCAGCTGCGAGGTCAGCTTCTTCTTGATTATTATTAGATGACGGCCTCGGCGGTCTAGAGGTTTAGCACATCGCTTTACATCCGATGGTCGCGGCATAGATTCCTCGCATGGTAGATACATTTGTATTCCTGGGTATAATTGTTTGTTTTTTATAGCACAGGGGACAAACGAGCTTGTGTTTCACCTGATGGTAACTGATTACCGCCGCCCATGAGCATCCACCACACCAAGTGCGTTGCCGGCTTATTAAGAAAGAATAAGTTCTTTTCTTGAAGGTTTCAATATCGTATTGATTCCACTATGTGGTTGTGCGTGGTAAAAAGATTCTATAAAACCGCACTGTGGAAGACCGCCATTCATGTAGATCATCGGGATGGCATTTTTTCATGATTTTATTTATGATCAGGATGGATGTTTTTTTATGTTATATATGTATTTACAAAATAAGTATCTAAGTATTTACACCCGTTGTCTAGTACCCATAACACAAATCTGCTTATCGTAGGACTAGATGGCGCTATGTGAATTTTTCAGAGATATTATTAAGTAGTGTTGAGTGCGGTCGAAGTGTCGTATTTTGTTTTAGCCTTCACTTTTATTGTGTCTCCCTGTTGACTTTTCCTTGCTCTGTTTTTTTTCTGGTCTAATAGTGTAAAGCAATTCTCACGTTTGAGCATGGTTTTGTGACTTCACTTTTATTACAGTTATCTTTTGATGACATCTTTTTTGTTTTGTGGTCTTAGGAGGAATGGTTTCTTTTATTCTATGGTTTATTATATTGATACAGTAAGCATAATCCTTTGGTTACTTTATTTTTATTATTTGTGTCCTGCTTATCTTTCATCATGTCATGATTACATAAAATTTTCTTTGTTTCACTACTCGTTTATAATATTTGTTATAATAAAGATAACTCGGAGGTTTTAGTATGTTAAGTGGAGATACAACTGGAGAGGTCGTTGGTACTTATTTTACTGTCTATCTCTAACTCTAACTATCTGTTGGGGTGATAAAGTCACTTGTCTGAAGTAATTCTTGAATTAGTTGCAAGTATCTTCAGTATATTTTGTAAACAATTTATTCATATATGATGATACAAGGTTCGACTTTGTTTGCATTATCTTTAATGGGCGATATAATAAAAACTCTGAATAGAATAGAATAGAAATCTAATATATATTTTTTTGTGTTGAGGTGTTTGTTACCAAACTCTTCCGAAACGGCTTTATCGATTTTTATGAAATTTTCAACATTCAACATTTATTTCATAAAAAATGAGGAATCCTCAATGATAAGGGTGTGATCTCTAAATATGTTTTTTTTATTATGATTTAGCATTGCAAAATACATACAACTTCAACTTTTCACACTTTTACGATTAACCTCTGTTTTTATATCGATATTAGTACTTTAATTTATATGGCAAAATAACGTTTGATGAGTTAGCTAAAATCTGTACAAAAATAAACGTTAGACGTAAGCTCTTTTGAATATATATGTTTTTTTTTCTACTACTGATTCGGAAAGCAGTCTCATCACAAGAAGCATGAGCTAGAAACTTGCGTGTTGAGTCTTTTAAATAAATGTAGTTTTCAATAAGTTTACATTAGCAAGGACTGAGTTATCTGTTCTAAAGGGAGTATATACTGTACTTATATACCAAAATGATATGGCAGTGAAATTATACATGACGTGACATCTATGTTCTCGAGAGTTACCACCAATCCACTAAATATTTTCAATATGTAGTCACAAAAAAATAAATGTTGCTGTCGACCTTCCGACTCGTGCATTTTACTTTTGTTGCTAACCTGAGGTAGGTTGGTAGTCTTATCACATTCGTGCCTATAAAACATATCCTCCGCAAATACCAGTTTTACTTCTCATTTTGAGTTCACTACCCACACCCTTAAGCATTGCGATTAACAAAACAAAATGTTCATAATTTACATCTTAACAAAATCTATATATTTTAAATGCAGATTTATTTTATGTTGTTTTACATTTGATCTCCTTTCAATACAGTATAGTGTACGGTCGCTAGTATTAGGAATGAAACGCAATTCATTAATTTCATAACACGTTTGCTGATTTGACTGGGGCCGACTGCAAGCAGTGCAATTATATGTTTTTAGTATAACAGTACTACCAGCCACCGGATATCACTCACTCAAAGTTGGTTTATGTTTGATTATATGGAGATATTCAGTGGTATACATTAACAACACCAGTATAATCTTGACTGAGCCTTTGCTAGCAATGTACTATCTTAGGTTGATCTCCAGGCGGTTCTCCTTCGAAAGTTATTGTGATAAATTCCTGGTGAATTTGTCACGATGGGCTGATTGATCTGACTTCATGCTCACCTTATCGTCCTCCACAGGTGCCCCGCCATCGTAAACCGTTAGGTCAGGCGGGTGCACTATTCCATTATCATCTATTAAGAAAACCTGTCTACATTTGAGGAGAAGGGGATTGTTAGTAATGTGGACTGATCACCCTATTGCTAGCAATGTATTATATCAGGTTGACTTCCAAGCGGTTTCACCTAGAAACGATCGTAATAAATTTCTTGTGAATTTGCCACGATGGGCTAATTGATTTGATCTCAGTCTCTCATCCTCTACCGGTGCCCCGCCATTCCATTTTCATGCATTAAAAAATATCCTTTTAACATATGCTCCATACAAATTAACTGATTGTTTCTCAAAATTAATAAAATATTCGTCACGACTATTGGAAATTTGCCTAAAATATGACCTCGGTATTTATATCTTAGTATACATTTATATCTTATTTCAATATAATAAACTTCTAACTAGGCCATAAGTACGGTATATGCGTATATTAATTGTCAAGTATTTTGTTATTCAGGGTTATTTAGATAGTCGTTAAACCTCTTCTTTTTTTCCTCGTCTCTTCCTGTTACGCGGGGTCAAATTTCCTAATCTTGAGGCGCCATACATTTCACTGGTAAGCATTGCATGGTTATTTGACAGGTCCAACTCCTTCATGTCCCTATTGACATTAGTCAACCCCGGTAGTGGTCTGCCTCGTACTATACATTGTAGCCATGGAAAAACACTTTTCTAAATTGATTGATGGAAAATTGTGGAAAATGGCAAGAGCTCGACCAACAAGAGCGCGGTTCTTAAGTTATGAATTAATGTATATATTATTTATTTATTGTTGTCGTTTCATCACCATCAATAGATTGTAATGTACCTCTAGATGTGTACAAATACTACGTTCCGCACGTTTAGCGCCATCTAGTCCTAAGCTAAGCAGAACTTGTATTATGGGTACTAGACGACTGATATAAATATATAGATACATTTCTTTTGTAAATACATACAGAATAAATAGTCCCAGACCTATAGTAACAAACATACTCATGAATACAAATCTTTGTACCGAGCGAAGTATTGAACCTGCGACTATTGGAAGTAAACCGGTGCGTTAAAGGGGAATTGGATTGTCAGTAATATGGAGTAATTAACCCATTACTACCAATGTACCATGTCATTGACCTCCACGCGGTTCCCTATAGAAACCATAGTGATAAATTCCTGGTGAATTTGTCACGATGGGCTAACTGACCTGACCTCATGCTCTTCTTATCATCCTCCACTGGAGCCCCGCCAGCGAATACCGTTAGTGCAGGCGGGTGTATTATACCATTATCATCCATACTATGTATAAGACTACCAGGCCGTCTGTAGCTATCCTATTATTTCTAATTGCTGGTACCTGATCCAATATTTATACGGTTTAGTATATACTACAATAAATAATGCGTAGCTTCGCTTTAAATGTACAACGCCTCTTAATACAACTGACGGTAGTACTAGCTCATTAGTGTGTTTACAGCTATAGAATAACCTGTTTGCCTTTACGAAAATTTCATAAATATTTTATACAGCATTGAAAACATACGAATCTAAACTCAATGCAGTCGTAATAGGAGTGATATTGGAGATGAACGGTACTGAATTTTCATTACGGCGTCTGCATAAAAAAAGTTAGTGCTGAAAATGAGTTCGATAATTTATAACAGTGAAGTAACAGGTATTTATAAATATTTGTTTTTTAATGATTTAATTACTGGATAATTATTTAATGATGAAAATAATAGACTTCTATTTGTCTACATAAATAAAAGTTCGTATCAAATTCAAATTCAAATTCAAAAATCATTTATTCATGTAGGACATTTTAGCCGCTTATGAACGTCAAGTTTTTACATTATAATTTTTTTCCCTACCGTCCAGTTCGGTATATAGATCCAATTGAGAAGAACTGGCAAGAAACTCAATTGAATTACTTTTTTTTTTAAATCCAGTTTATTTACAATGCATAGTTATTTATATAGGTGTCTATGTCTAACATTAAATGAAAATCCCGAACATGAAAACTATTGCCATGCACGCTCGTCAATCTATCAAATATATGAAGAATTTTAAGGATGTTTTTTAGGGAATTGAGACTATGATTGGTTCTAAAAAAATCTGGTAAATTCGCCACGATGTATAATTTCGCCCTCATCCTTGCATCCTCTGCTGGTGCTCCGCTAGTCATGCCATATATTATTAACTAGCTACCTGCCCGGCTTCACACAGGTGTACGTGTCTTATACATATAAACCTTCCTCTTGAATCACTCTATCTATTGTTTCTACCTGTCCTTTAAGAAGAAGAGTCAATGGTAAAGACGAGAGCTATATATATAGATTTATAAACAAACAGACTTGCAAGTGGTATTTGTGTACATGCGTTAAGGAATGTATTCTTAAATTTATTACGGAGGTGCATATTTATATTGTATTATAATATATTGGATTGTAGTTTAACATACCACATTACTTCGTATGGTCGCTTCATATTCATGTGTATGATTGTTTGTTACTCTATTTTCTATCTATGTATTTACAAAAAAATTAAGGTGAGCAATATGAGGTCAGGTCAGTTAGCCTATCGGTTCAAATTTACCAGGTATTCATTATGGTTTCCAGGGGGAACCTGACATGGTATAATTGGTACATTAGCAAGGTATGGGATCAGCAATCCAGATTACTAACAATAGCCTACCTATTTTTAGTATTTATATCAGTTGTTTCCTAACCAAACATCATCAAATGTCTGCTTAGCTTGGGACTAGATGGCGCTATGTGGATTGTCCAAGGTTATTATAAGAATTATTAATTTGTGAACAGGTTATGTTCCCCAAAGTCGCAGATTAGCAAGGTATGGGGTCAGCAGCCCACATTTCCCAACCTACCTATTTTTATTTTACCTGCTTAGCTTGGGACTAGATGGCGCTATGTGGATTGTATGTGTATGTATTATATAATTATTATTAATTTGTTAACAGGTTATGTTCCCCAAAGTCGAGGACGGCGCTTGGCGAATAAATTGTGCAGCTTGCAATCCTGGAGGCGGCGGGTGCCCATCACAATATGGCTGCCCAACTACAAGTTGGAGTATCTCGTGCGAGATATCATTGCCGGTAAGACTACCTTGGCTTCTTTTAGACTACCTGTCCCGGCAAACGTTTTTTGCTATATATATTAATAACGCTATAAAAAAATAGGGTTTGGTGATAGAAGGGTGAAACATTAGGGTTGTATGTATTTTTTAATGACACATAATAAAAATATTTTGCCCAAAAAATAAAAAAATAATGTCAGGGGTGGACAACCCTTATCACTACACCTAGTATGAAAAATAGATAGTAGCCGATTCTCAGACCTACTGAATATGCATATAATTTTCATAAAAATTGGTCAAGCCGTTTCAGAGGAGTATGGTACTAACGTGTGACACGAGAATGTTATATATAAGATATAAATAAAATTGGAGTGTCTGTTTGTAATATTGAAATAACCGTTTTTTACTAGCATATGAATATAAATACGGTACATACACCAAAATAACATTTTTTTACAAATTCTGTTTGTCTGTTTGTTTGTCTGGCTAATCTTTGAAATGGCTGGACCGATTTTGACTGGACTTTTTTTGATAAGTAGCTGATAACTAACTAACCTAACTAACATACAAACTTTCAGCTTTAATATTATTATAGATATAATGATATTTTAACAGAATATGTTATCGAATGTGGTTATAATATTTGACATATTGTGTTAAAATTTCATTCTTTGATCGTCCATCCGTTAACTACACAAACAGATGTACAAACAGGAAGTTATCGCCTTTAGTCTGTTAATATTTTATAATATGTAAAGATATATGATTTCAGGTATAACTGTTGGCTTGACGTCCATACCACAAGGTATAGCATACGCTCTCGTTGCTGGTCTACCACCACAAGTAAGTACCCACTGTGTGTAAATGTGTGTACTATTGAATAAAAGCAGTAAAGATAAACATCATTACAAGTATAAAAACAAAGTGGTGTGTCAGTTGTCGCCGTCTGTCACGAGGGACGGACAGATAGCGAGAGGGATGGACAGACAGCGACAGCGACTTTGTTTTATAATATGTATGCTTAAACCGAGCAGCCAGAATCTTGAAACTACGCAACAGATTTTGGTGCGGGTTATCTCTCTTATAGCATATAGAGTGATTCAAGAGGAAGGTTTATATATATAATACATGTACACCCATGCAATGATCATCTGGATGAATGGCGGCGAGTAGCTAGTAGAAAATAAAAGTTTTTATTCATGAAGATCTATTATACACTCATGATATGCCAAATCTACCGTAAGTTCGGAGTGCTTTCGAGAAATAGAAATAGAAATAATCTTTATTCAAATAAACTCATTACAAGCACTTTTTAATAGTCATATTTTGATTCTACCACTCATTCGGAATGCAGATTCATCACAAGAAGAATGAGTAAAAAAACTTGTGTGTTGCTCTTTTTGAATAGATGTTTTTTTTTATATAATAATCGTACACTATACCAAATAAGAGGCATACGATAATCAACATAGTAATCAGATAATATTGTCAGTGCTATGGATTTAAAGTTTTTCTATAAAATCATTATTGTCGTTAACGAATTCTTGAATTTTTATAGTAAGCTTTTTTGCAAAGGAAGTGTTTCATATGACATTATAAATCTTTTTTCAGGCATATTTATAACAGACAGAGATGAGTTTATATATACTGATAAGAAACTCAACTCTTATTCAGTTTAGTTAAAATATTTACTGTGAGCAGAGACTTTTTGAGTCGTTAGGATTAATCCCCTCATAGGATAAGAAAAAAATGTATACAAATATAATATTAGATAGAGGAAAGATTATAGTATTAGATTTATTGGTCCAAAACTACTGTACCGATTAAAAATTCTTCTATCTTGTAAGATAAATCAACTCTATGTACTAGTAAAAGTATGTATTATAATAAAATAACAATTTTTCAGCATTAATTTAACTATGTTTCTAACACAATTCACTTTAGCATTTTACCAGCACATCCTGGGTTCAAAGACCGAATGCTGTGAATTTTTCGGACCACTCTAATGCTGTTGGCAGCAGCTGGCCTTTACAGCTTCACCGGACGATAGGGGGCGAGTGCAGATGGCACTCCAAACCCGCGGAAGGACTTATGGAGCGGCTGAAGGCCAACTCCTGCCTGACGGATACGACTTTAGTCTGAGGGCACCACTAGGGGTTCGAACCTCGGCTCAGGCCGTCGTAATTCAGATCCCCGTTTGAATCGATCCCCCGGGATCGATCGGAGGGGCGCCCGGGGGCGCCGGTGTGGAGCGCCCGGGCGCGCGCAGGTGCACGGTTGAATACGCGATATTGTGTGTTTGAGGTCGTCGTGTTCGCCGGCGAGGACGGTGTCATGTGTGTGTGTAAAAGTGTGGTCGGGGTGGAACGGGTGGGCCCGTGGGGAGGTTACCTGCCGTTATGGTGTCGTCGGGGTCAATGAGAACGTGCCTCGGGCGACGTTGTCGCATATTACTCTCCTCGATGCGTTGACCGCACTGACTACAAGCGGGTTAGGGTGGGATTGGGCAGAGTCGAAGTAGCGTCGAGACGCTTCCTTCATAAACTGCTTGATGGAGGGCAGATTAAGGTCGCGGTGGAGATCTACGCTACGAACGAACCACGGCGCACCAGTGGCTCGACGCAGAAACCTATTCTGTATAATCTGTAGTCTGTTTATAATCTGCAGTCTGTTAAGTTTGCCGTGGCTTACAAAACCCTCCCTTTTATACAGAGAAGATATGAGTGGGGGTTATACGCAACTAGTTTAAGAGACCGAGTAATAATGAAACTACCTTCATTTAATATTTAAAAAAAATCAGATTTTACGACAATATCGATGTGGGTTCACAGTCTTTAGAATCTAGGTTAATTCAGGTATAGCGATTTAGCACACCTTACTTCCGATGGTCGCGGGTTCAGTACCTGACATGATGCAAATATTTGTATTCAAGAGTATGATTGTTTGTATCGGTCTGGGTGTTTTCTACGTATGTATATATTTACAAGAAAAAACCAAGTATTCAATCAGTTGTCTAGTATCCATAACACAAGTTCTGCTTATACAGAGACTAGATGGCGCTGTGTAAATCGTCCAAGGTTTTTTATTATAATTATTATTATGCCTAAGTGGTTCTGATGAAATAAATGTATATAAATGATTTCTCTATCTAATATATAATACCAAATACTATATAATAAATAGTTTTTATATATCACTCAGGTTATATAAAATAAGATATCATACTTTTATCTCTAAGCACATAGATGGCTTAATGTGAATTAATTTCATACTGTATGTCTAGGATTAGACTTAGATAGAAATTAGAATTTTGTGTCGTCTGTTAGTTATAATAAAGTATAAATTGACATGGAGAAAAATATTACAACTATGTTTTATAGCCTTTATTATTTGCAGAACTATGTCGACTATAAAATAGATGTTATGCGGATGAAATGTGTGACTCGTTCTTATCTATACATATTAATAAAATTGGGGTGTCTGTTTGTAATATTGAAATAACTTTCTTTTACTACATGCATATGAATATAAATACGGTACATACACCAAAATAACATTTTCTGCAATTCTTGTCTGTCTGTCTGTATATATATTTTTGTAAATACATACATAATATACAAAGAGAACACCCATACTGATACAAACAATCATACATATGAATACAACTGTTGGAACCCGCGACAGCAGTGTGCAAAGCAGTGAGCTAAACCGCTAGACCACCGAGGCCGTCGAATAAAGATTCTATTTCTGTTAGGTATATCATCTGCCTCTATGTTGCAGGTTGGTCTGTACTCCAGCATATTTCCAGGCATCATGTACGCAATATTTGGAAGCTGCAGGGACGTGACTGTCGGTCCCACGGCCATACTGTCCGCGCTGTTAGCTAAGTACGTGGCTAAGAGTCCCGACTTTGCCTATTTAGCCTCATTCCTATCCGGATGTCTTATATTGCTCTTGGGGGTTTTGCAACTTGGTAAGTTGTTTTTTTTATTTTTTATGGCGTAATTAATACCGTACAATAATCGAGTTTAATGACATATGACATTCAGCCAGCTAAGTTTTAAGTTACATATTTATGGCTACGTATCTTCTATATTCATATACCCATCTCTTCATATTGAATACGAGCTGAGTTTCTTGTCAGTTCTTCTAATCTTGAAATCATTCCGAACTGACGGTAGATTTGACATATCATAAGAGTCTGTAATAGACCTACATGAATAAAGATATTTTGAATTGGAATATAAATATCTCATAAAATTTGCAAAATGCAATTTTGTCTAAATAATTATAGTATAAACTAATTTAAAAATGAGAAATAGAATTATACAATGAAAGTAGACTTAATACAACTTAAGAAGTAGTGCATTAGTATAAGGGGGCGGCCATAAATTAAGTGAGGTGTTTTTTTTTAATTTTCTGTGGACCAAAATAGTATATTTTTTTGTTTCAATAAAAAAATTATGTGATATTTGCCGAGACCCCTCTCTCTCCAACGTAAGATTAGATGAGATTTGACTCGACCCCCTCCCCCCCTTAAACATCTCACATAATTTATAGACGCCCCCTAATGTAATGTGTTTTTTTGATTTTATAAGTTTTTTGAGACTATATTTGCGATCGCAAATAGCCGTTCAAAAATAAATTATAAAATTAAAATCTGGAACGTTACCCATGGAACATTGATATTGTTTTGTTTTACTTTATATACATTCTTTCACTTCTTCTCGAACATTCCGTGACGTCCCTATTAAATTCAGTGCACAATAAATTCTAACCATATTTTATTAAATTACTATAAAATTAAACTCTTGAATAATATTAAAAAAAACTCCAATAAAACAGACAAGTTTTAAAGATTTAATCATACATAGGAACGGAAGACGTCCAACAGCGACTTTGGACATGTAATGATTATAAAATTAAACATTGCAATATTTCTTCAGAAAACAGACTATATAAGTGTTTTTAATGATATTTCAGGTTTTCTTTTGGACTTCATATCGAAGCCGGTTATAAGTGGTTTTACAACCGCTGCAGCGCTGCAAATAGCCGCTGCACAACTCAAGACACTATTCAGGGTCGAAGGTGTGTATTTTATTTTTGTCTTCTCTAACATCTATACATTCAAAGAAATCGTAATTGTTCACTGTCTGTTTACATTAAAAATGCCTTTTCTATTCTATTCTACACTCATTTATAGGGTGTTTTTTTAATAGATGATAATGGAATGGTGCACCCGCCTGCGCTAACGGTTTACGCTGGTGGGGCACCAGTGGAGGATGATAAGATGAGCATGAAGTCAGGTCAGTTAGACCATTGTGACAAATTTACACGGAATTTACCACGATGGTTTCCAGGGGGAATCGCGTGGAGGTCAACCTGACATGGTACATTGCTAGCGATGGCATCATTAGTCCACATCACTAACACACCTTCCCCTCTCATTTACAGGGTCATCAGGCAACACGTTTATAGACGCATTGATAAATTTCTTCAAGAACATCAAGACGGCGCATTTTTGGGACTCCGTGCTCGGTATAGCCAGTATCGTGGCGTTATTACTGCTTAAGGTAAATTGTTTTTTTTGTATTAATATTTTTCCCTACAATGTCCCATAACCCTATGGTAAAACATTGTATTTTTTCTTTTAAGAAAGCCTAAGGGATTGTTAGTAATGTGAGTTTTCACTCCATCCCTAATAATGTACCAAGTCCAATTGACCTCTATGCAATTCCCTCCGGAAACCATCGTGATAAGTTTTTGGGTTTGTCACGATGAGCCAACTGACCTGACTTTATTCTCATCCTATCATCTACCATTGCCCCGCCAGCACATGCAGTTAGCACAGGCGGATGCAAAATTACGTAATCATCCTCCAAAAAAATGTGTTTACACAGCCATGTCTGTTTGTTTTTTATATTGTTTAAACCGATGTATTGGTTGGCAGCGGTTGCCCACGCGTGGGAGTAGCCTGTGGGCCGCGCTGGCGCTGAATGTAGCGCGAGCACGTAATGCGCTTGTTGTGCTCGCGTGCTCGCTGCTCGCCGCCGGGCTGCACGCACGCGGGATAGTACCCTTCGCACTCACTGGTACCTACTTTTACATACTACATTATTTTTATGACAGCCTAGTAGTATTGGATGTCTTATTAGAGAATATTTATAAGTTACTAACTACTCGGCCCTGCTTCGCACGGGCGTACATGTATTATATATATAATGACATTTAAAGTTTATTATATATATATATAATATATATATATATACACTTGTTTTTGCACGATCCATTTTTATGTTATTTCTATTGACAGCTCCCTTTGACATATCAACAGCGCGGAACGCGCCAAAATTTGAATTGTTGAAATATTTAATTATATTATTATAAAGAATTTCTTTATATATATATATATAACCATCTTCTTGAGTCACTCTATCTATTAAAAAAAACCGCTTCAAAATCCGTTGCGTAGTTTTAAAGATTTAAGCATACATAGGGACAGACAGCGACAGCGACATTGTTTTATACTATGTAATGTGCTCGCTGCTCGCCGCCGGGCTGCACGCGCACGTGATAGTACCCTTCGCACTCACTAGTACCTACTTTTACATACTATTTTATTTTGATGACAGTCTAGTAGCTTAGTACGCCGCAATAGGGGTCTTTTAAAAATTATGCTCGCGTGCTCGGTGCTCGTCGCCGGTATGCAAGCACGTGGGATAGTACCCTTCGCCCTCATCGGCACCTTCTTATCTGTTACATACTACATTATTTTTATGACAGCCTAGTAGTTTAGCACGCCGTATTAGGGACTTTTATAAATTATTCTCGCGTGCTCGCTACATGCCGCCGGGCTGCACGCGCGCGGTATAGTACCCTTCGCACCTACTGGTACCTACTTTTACATACTACATTATTTTTATGACAGCCTAGTAATATTGAACCTCGTATTAGAGGACATTTATAAGTTAAGTTCTTGTGCTCGCTGCTCGCCGCCGCGCTGCACACACGCGGGATTGTACCTTTCATTCTCACCGGTACCTACTTAACTTTTACATACTACTATATTTTCTTGACCGCCTAGAAGTTTAGTACGCCGCAGTCAGAGTCTTTTATAAATTATGACACACCCTTCGCATTCACCGGTGGTATCTAATTATCTGTTACATACTACATTATTTATGACAGCCTAGTAGTTTAGCAGGCCGCAGTAGGGGCGTTTTATAAATTATGCTCGCGTGCTCGCTGTTCGTCGCCGTACTGCACGCGCGCGGGATAAGTACCCATCGCACTCACCGATACCTACTTATCTGTTACATACTACATTATTTATGACAGCCTAGTAGTTTAGCAGGCCGCAGTAGGGGCGTTTTATAAATTATGCTCGCGTGCTCGCTGTTCGTCGCCGTACTGCACGCGCGCGGGATAAGTACCCATCGCACTCACCGATACCTACTTATCTGTTACATACTACATTATTTTTATGACAGCCTAGTAGTTTAGCACGCCGTATTAGGGGCTTTTTACATGCTCGCGTGTTCGCAACTCGCTGCCGGGCTACGCGCGGGATAGTTTCGCACTCACCGGTAGTACTTATCTTTTACACACTACTTTATTTTCATGACAGCCTAGTAGTTTAGCAGGCAGAAGTAGGGGTCCTTTAAAAAATAATATTTAATAAGTAAGATATATTATATATATGAACATTATTAAGGTTCTATGACCAAAGATATTTCTGTCTGTGTGTTAAATAAATGATAGTCTGTGTAATGTTTTATTTTCGTTTTAATGTATTATTTATGAATAATTAAAAAAAGATTATTAAATAGAAATAGAAATAATCTTTATTCAAATGAACTCATTACAAGCACTTTTGAATAGTCATATTTTGATTCTACCACTCATTCGGAATGCCAGAAGAATGAGCAAGAAACTTGTGTGTTGCTCTTTATAATAGTTTTTTTATATAAATAATTACTGTAATTATATCAAGTAAGAGGCATGCGATAATTAACATAGAAATCGCTACACACTCATTATTAGTGTAATCAGATAATATTGTCAGTGCTATGGATTTAAAGTTTTCTATAAAAAATATTAATATCGTAAACGAATTCTTCCTTTTTTGCAAAGGAAGTGCTTTATTTGACATTTAAATCTTTTTTCTGGCAGATTTATAACAGACTCTGGTATTTATTGTAAAACCTTACGCAATTGCCATAAAACGTATTACTAACTTTAGCCAAACGACATTTAGGTAAAATCAGTTTATTATTGTTACGTAAGCTTTTATTAGTGCAATCACTATCTCTTTTGTAAGTGTCTATATTCTTCCTGGCATACATGATATTTTCATAAATATATTGAGAAGCAACGCTGAGGATATTAGATTCCTTAAAGCACTCTCGTAAAGACTACCTGGAACCCATACTATAAATGGAGAATTATCTTTCTGCACTCCTCTATATAAACTATAAGTGTGGCCAAATTCCATACTCCTCAGTAAGCGTAATTTTCGTAAAAAGAACTACAGTTTTTGCTTCATGTATTATATAATGATGTCAAATCTATAGTCAAAGAGCAATGCCAATTTGGATTTTTTTAGGTAAAATCGAAGGCGGTCTCCCCCACTTCGGTCTGCCACCGTTCAGTACCACTGTTGGTAACAGCACGCTTAATTTCGAAGACATGCTGTCGGTGTTTGGTCCCGAAGGTCTCGTGATGCCCCTCGTTGCTGTACTGGAGAGTATCGCTATTGCAAAGGCTTTTGGTGAGTGCGTATTCACTGAGTGCTTTTTTATGTTTTAGTTGACCAGACAAATAATTTATTGGAAATTAATATTGTTTGCACGCGATAGTTTAATTTTATTTCATAATAGTACTTTTTATTCCACAGATTGGGTTATTTTTATATTCCAAGAATCTATTTTATTTTGTACTAGCTGCACCCGCGACTATGTCCGCCGGGAATTTAACTTTATTTATCTAAAATAAAAGTTAAGTTACTCGTTATTATATCAGCTACCTGCCAAAAAAAGTCCCGTCAAAATGTCCAACCATTGCAATTATAATTAATTTCTATATTTAGATGCACATTCTTTCCTGTGTGAAATATTCGTACGTGTAAAGGTGGTCTTATCACGTTCATCATCATCATTATCATCATCATCTCAGCCGGGAAGACGTCAATTGCTGAACAAAGGCTCCCCCAAAAATCTCCAGAATGATCTGTCCTGCGCTGCGCGCATCCAAAGCCTTCCAGCGATTTTGACCAGATCGTCGGTCCACCTTGCTGGAGGCCTTCCCATGCTGCGTCTTCCGGTCCGCGGTCGCCACTCGAAGACTTTACTGCCTCTTATTGTCTTATCATGTTAACACGTTTAATTAATCATTTTTATCCTTCTAATTGCCATCTCCACCTGTCTCCCTCTGTTTGCAGCTGGTGGCGCGGCGGTGGACGCGACGCAGGAGATGGTGGCAGTGGGCGCCTGCAACCTGATGGCTTCCTTCGCGCAGGGCATGCCGGCAACTGGATCCTTCACACGGACGGCCCTCAACCGAGCCGCCGGCGTTGCCACTCCTGCCGGTTCGCTCGTTAAAGGTAACTTCACCTGGGATTCGAACCCGTATTCGTTATGTACTACGGTGTTACGTATTAGTTATGAAGGCAATTTGGAGATAAAGTACTAGGATAGCAGAAGGATATAAGAAATGAAGAGGTGATTAAGTGGGTGATATTATTCACTCAAAATAATTTGTGGATAAAGTATTAGGATAGCAGAATGTTATAAGAAGTGAAGAGGTGATATTGTAGAAAGTCACAAAACAATTTGCAGAAAAAGTACTAAGATAGCAGAAGTATATAAGAAGAGGTTATATTTTTGATGCGCGCTTTTTCTCTTTCTCCTTGTTTTTTCTTACATTTACATGCTTATTCTTTTCTGCGTGTAAGAATGAACACAAAAAAGTAGTTAAATGTGATCTTTCACGATTAGTTGGCTGTCCCTCGCGTAATCGCGCGCGTTTCTGATCGCGAATGAAACATTTACCATTGACAAACGAAAAAGTTACTGCTTTTCTTGTATCTTTTTCTTTGCAGACCATAAAGTGTTTATTTTTATTTTGTTTGTGCGCAGCGTCCATCGTGTTGTTAGCAGTCACGCTGTTGGCGGAGGCGTTCTACTTTATACCGCGCACGGCGCTGGCGGCAGTCATCATCGTGGCGATGATGTCCATCATCGACTTCTCTATAGTGATGACGCTGTGGAGGAATAACAGTATGCAACTAATATATTTTGTTAAGTAGATGCTAGCAAAGTGAGAATTCCTCTTGTCTTATGGATACTCCGTTAAGAAGGTGATTTATTATGCATCTTTTTAATGCCTAATAGGTCCACCATCTATCACCATAGGGAGAGCCTGGTGAGTGCCGCGGTGATAGATGGTGGACACATTTTTAACCTTTTCCCTCTAACCCAAATACACGAGTGTTTTTTTCATTTCTTTAATGGGTGTCAATGGAACGGTACACCCGCCTGCGCTAACGGTCACACATACGGCGGGGGCGGCGGGGCGGGGTCGAGTGCGATAAGATGGGCGTCACGAGGTCCGGCCGTTAGCACTACTAACAATCTCCTTCCTCCTAATGGAGCGTGTTGATAACGTGGGGTTGTATTGTGTCAGAGGGCGAGGTGTTGTCGTGGGCGGCGGCGGCGGCGGCGGGGGCGGCCGCGGGGCTGGAGGTGGGCGTCGCGGCCGGCGCCGCCGCCGACCTGCTGCGGCTGCTGGCCGCCGCCGCCAGGCCCGCCCTGCCGCTACACCACTACAAGGTCCACACTCACACACTACGGCGGGGGCGGGGGCGGGGGCGGGGGCGGGGGCGGCCGCGGGGCTGGAGGTGGGCGTCGCGGCCGGCGCCGCCGCCGACCTGCTGCGGCTGCTGGCCGCCGCCGCCAGGCCCGCCCTGCCGCTACACCACTACAAGGTCCACACTCACACACTACGGCGGGGGCGGGGGCGGGGGCGGCCGCGGGGCTGGAGGTGGGCGTCGCGGCCGGCGCCGCCGCCGACCTGCTGCGGCTGCTGGCCGCCGCCGCCAGGCCCGCCCTGCCGCTACACCACTACAAGGTCCACACTCACACACTACGGCGGGGGCGGGGGCGGGGGCGGGGGCGGGGGCGGGGGCGGCCGCGGGGCTGGAGGTGGGCGTCGCGGCCGGCGCCGCCGCCGACCTGCTGCGGCTGCTGGCCGCCGCCGCCAGGCCCGCCCTGCCGCTACACCACTACAAGGTCCACACTCACACACTACGGCGGGGGCGGGGGCGGGGGCGGGGGCGGGGGCGAGGCTGGAGGTGGGCGTCGCGGCCGGCGCCGCCGCCGACCTGCTGCGGCTGCTGGCCGCCGCCGCCAGGCCCGCCCTGCCGCTACACCACTACAAGGTCCACACTCACACACTACGGCGGGGGCGGGGGCGGGGGCGGGGGCGGGGGCGGGGGCGGCCGCGGGGCTGGAGGTGGGCGTCGCGGCCGGCGCCGCCGCCGACCTGCTGCGGCTGCTGGCCGCCGCCGCCAGGCCCGCCCTGCCGCTACACCACTACAAGGTCCACACTCACACACTACGGCGGGGGCGGGGGCGGGGGCGGGGGCGGGGGGGGCGGGGCTGGAGGTGGGCGTCGCGGCCGGCGCCGCCGCCGACCTGCTGCGGCTGCTGGCCGCCGCCGCCAGGCCCGCCCTGCCGCTACACCACTACAAGGTCCACACTCACACACTACGGCGGGGGCGGGGGCGGGGGCGGGGGCGGGGGCGGCCGCGGGGCTGGAGGTGGGCGTCGCGGCCGGCGCCGCCGCCGACCTGCTGCGGCTGCTGGCCGCCGCCGCCAGGCCCGCCCTGCCGCTACACCACTACAAGGTCCACACTCACACACTACGGCGCCCCCTCCGATCCATCCCCCGCCCGATACAATAGAATAGAAAATCATTTATTCAAATAATTAATTAATTTGAGCACTTTTGAATAGTCATAACATTTTATTTTAATCTACCGCTCATTCGGAAAGCTGTCTCATCACAAGAAGAACGAGCAAGAAACTTGTGTGTTGCTCTTTTAAATAATCCTTGTAAGATCACATTTTATAAGTCGAAACGTGTGACTACAAACTACCAAGCGGCACTAATTTATAGAGTCAAATATAAATACACAGTAAGGTTAAATTAGTCGTAGTGATAAGAGCGGATCAGTCCCTACGAGCAGCACTCGTTCACGAGTATGACGTATGAGCCAGCCATTATTGCGCTCGACCATATTTTAGGGCGCCCAATGACCCAATTCAAACATATAACGTAAGTATGTATATCAGTTGTCTGGTACCCATAACACAAGCTCTGTTAGTTAGGTTCTGGATGGCGCTGTGCGAATTATTTTTTTTTTTTAAGGTGGGGAATGTGGACTGTATGTCTTTAACGCTGACGGGGACAGTGAGCTACGCCTGCGCAGAGTGGCTCCCACGGTCGGTTCGACGTGTGGTCCACTCGCCACACTCGTCACATCCACCACACTTGCCACACTCGTCACACTCGCCACGCCTGCTCGTATTGGACGGGCGACACGTGTACAGTGTCGATGTTGGTGTCGCTGAGGTGCGTCATTTTATACCATTATCGTTCTATCATAAACATTCTACATACATATGTACATACATACACATTAATTTAAAGTTTATTCTGAGTACACAATACATTTACGAGAACGAAATAAAATTGTGAATTTGTCGCGTTGTACTAATTGACCTGAGTTCATGCTCATCTTATCATCCTCCACTGGTGCCCCATGAGCGTAAAACGTTAGGGCAGGCGGGTGAACCATTCCATTATCATCAATTAAAAACCCATGGTTATGCCAAGCTTGACCCATGTACGTTAAAGTACATATAGACCCCTACTAATTGTTTTTCTACTTCTTGTCCCCTCTGTAAGCACTCTCCCCTTTCTGGGGATACAATATTGATACTTCAAGAAAAGAGTTTATTCCTTCCTAAAAGGCCGGCAACGCACTTGCAATTCCCCTGGTGTTGCGGGTGCTCATGGGCGATGGTAATCACTTACTTTGAGGTGAGCCGCAAGCCGACTTCGGTTGTTCCCTATGCTATAAAACAAAAAAAATAGACAATTTCACTCTGAGAAAAGGTGGTAATCACTTACCATCAGGTGAGCCACAAGAACGGTTATCCCCTTGGGGGAAGGGGATTGTTAATAATGTGGACTAATGATCCCATTGCTAGCAATGTACCATATCTGGTCGACCTCCACGCGGTTCCCTCTGGAAACCATCCTGATAAATTCCCGGTGGATTTGTCATGTTGGGCTAACTGATCTGACTTCATGTTCAACCTATCACCTTCCACTGGTGCCCCGCCAGCGTAAACTGTTATCGCAGGCGGGTGCACCATTCCATTATCATCCTCTAAAAAAAGATGGTTGTCCCGTATGCTATAAAAGTAGTAAAACGTGACAAGTTCTCTCTGAGATCGTTGTCCTCTATGCTATAAAAAATAGACTACACTCTGACAAATGTGATATTTTGTTCTAGAATCTTCTATCTGTGATACTAGAGTTAGAGAAGGAAGCATACGTGTTCTGTAAATGTTATTATTATAACATCCGAAAGATTATTTGTCCCCTATGCTATTAAATATTCCCTCTTAAAAGGCCGGCAATGCACATGCAATTCCCCTGGTGTTCATGGGCGGTGGTAACCACTTACCATCAGGTGAGACACAAGAGCAGTGGTCCTCTATGCGATAAAAATAGTAAAACGTGACAAGTGAAAAGTCACACTGATAAAATGAAAGATCGTTGTCCATTATGCTATAAAAAAAAATAGACAATATCACTCTGACATTTTGATATTTTTGTTCTAGAATCTTCTATCTGTGATACTAGAGTTAGAGAAGGAAGGATTCGTGTTCCTTCTGTGGAACTTTCCAGACAAGTGCCGCAAGCTGTTCGAAGAGTTACGACCAGAGTTTGAGAACAAGTTTGTCTCCGGTCCTAGTATAGATCAACATGTCTTAGGTATGTTTATTTCTATTATTTTCCATTTTTACACCTTCACACGATAGTTGTGGGTTTGATTCCTTGCATGATGTAAACATTTGTATTCACAAGTATAATTGTTTGTACTGCTCTGGATATTGTCTATGTGTATTATGTATGTATTTAAAAAAAAATGTTGTCTAGTATCTATAACACAAGCTTTGCTTACCGTGGGACTAGATGGCGCTGTGTTAATTGTCCAGGGGCCAGGAATTGTTTATCTTATATTTATTATATTTTATATGTTGTGTTCATGTAATTTAATCATTAAATATTTTTTATATAATTTATTAGTTATACACTATTTTAGTTAGTTGTTAACACTCAGACCGATACAAACAATCATACCCATGAATATTTGCGAGGAATCGAATCCGCGACCATCGAAAGTAAAGCAGTGTACTAGTAGTAGTACAGCAAGTAAACCACTAGACTACCGAGGCCGTCAATACATCAATATATCGTCAATATATCAGATAATTATATATAATTATTAAGACTGATTTGTTGTCAAAAGTAATTAATTAATAAAATTTAATTTACAGGTTTGGACATTTTAAGAAGATAATGCTTTAAGATTTAACCTTTATTATTTAATAGTAAGGTTTAAATTAATTAGAAAAATGTGAGTAATTGGTGCTTTTTTATACTGGCAACGCCGGTAAGTCTGTTACTAGAGTTCCCACCGGTACTATATTATATAGTATCTTACTATATTTTAGTAAATTATACTTGGAACGGATAGAAAAATATTTTTTCATTATTAGTATAAAATAGGTAGGTGTACCTACTACTTTCTTTACAAAAATTATTAAAAGTTTCAAAACTAAAAACGAAATATATTATTTTTTATTGTAAAAATGTGCCACAACTTGTTCAACAAAAATGTTTCAAATTACCTATTAAAAAAAAGTTTCTGATCTAAAAACGAATTTAAAAAACTTTTTTTTATATTTTCATAATATGACATAGTGTTACGACATTATGTCCAAGCAAAATGTATTTTTTTAAATAGATAATACTACCTACCTACCTACTGTACATATGCCTATTTAAAAAAAATTAATAGTTTCAAAACTAAAGACGAAGAATATTATTTTAAAGTGGTATAATGTTGCCACATTATGTTCAACACAACAAATTTATTCATTCATACACACACTTGTCTGGTTAGACAAGTGTGTGTATGAATGAATAAATTATAAAATTGTTGTTATTTCAAAAATTTAAATTAAAATATAACTATATCGTAGCGCAATTAAAGTACTTAATTGGTCATTTACATGATTATTGATCAGAGACCAATATCTTTGGTCACTATACCAAAAGTCGAAGTCGAGAAATTTTGCCATTGATTATAGAGAAATATAACGTAAAATAATATTATTGTTAATAATAAAATATTTGACGGACATCGTGTAGTTTTAGTTATATATTGAATTGTATGCCAATGTACCTAGTCTGAATTAAACCAAAATAAATCTAGATCTTGTTATGTGAATTGCTTAATATAATTATAGTTTAAACAGGACTACATTGTAGATATAATGTTTTAGATTAATTTTAAGTCAAGTTTCAATGCCTTAAAAATAATAATAAAACAATAGTTAAGAAAAAAGTTAATAAAATTTCAATTTATATATGTATATAGTAATCGATGGCTGTCTGTATGTAGAAGATATATTATAAATAATATTGGGGTCTATCTATCAAAGTAATAGAACAATGATTGATCAATCTTAACCACAGAAACGGCTTAACCAATGTGGGTATGGTTTGCTTTATTCTAGAAAATTTACAAGTAAAATAGCTTCGTAATTGTAGGCTAACAACTCCAGTGCTGTGTAGTTCAACAATGAAGGAAAGAAAATTAATCAATATGATAAAAAAAAGATATTGTGTAAGTGATAACTAGTGACAAGGCATAAGATGCATTTTTTGTCTCTTTATGTCAAATTAAGAAAAAAACATTCCAAGTAACGCGTAATAAGTTTGTTACATGATTCTACAATCAGCCTTACATAAAATAACATTCCATGTGTTTTAAGGGGATATTACATTATCAAATTTATTTAATCACGTCTGAATTTTTGAGGAATTCATTCTTGGTGAAATCGAAATCGCTCTGAGATTGTAAAAAAATATCATATAAAAATATATTAATATCTTCATAAATTCAGCTTTAGAAATATTGTATTTTTATAAAATAATTTACAATATTATAAAATCTCTTTCACATATAGAAAACTGTTTTATTAAAATACAATAAGATACATAAAGATCCATACAATATATGTATCCATAATGTAATAACACCTGGGATATGTAATTATTTTGATAACGTAATAACCGCTTAAGTAACGAGTATGTGATATATATATTTTTAATTCCTGTTGTTAATAAGAGTCGTTTATATTTGAATCAAGACAATTGTTGAATATTCCAATTATATTGTAATATATATATATTTTGAAAATAAAGTGACTAGTTTTCATTGAACACGTGTTTTATTTTACAAAATATGATGTTAATATTAAATTAACATTATTTTTAATCTTATTTGTACTATTTGTCTTCAATTATCACCTCTCAAAGACACCACTGTTGTCACTCGCCGTTCACAGCTTAATACCTGCATGACGCCAGCCGTGTGCGCAAGAGATGACGTAATGCTTCCTTCCCTTTCCAACATATACTACAATATTAGTTCCAAAAAAACCTTGGAAGTTTCAGCAGCCAATCTGCTCCTTTGTAAGCTGTGTTTCGACTGAAGGAAGAGATGAAAGTGAAAATTCAAAACAATATTAGTTTATTATAAGGGTGGTAGTTCACCGAAATGGCAACGAAGATAGTATGTCGTAGGAACGTAAATATTTGCGGCAAAATTTCGGTTCAAAGTATCGCTCTCGCGCTGGGGGAGGGAAGACGCGAGGTCGAGCTGTTGAATGGTGGATGACACCAGTCTTATATCCCACTACATAATAACAATGACCTTCGTATCAATAACGTATCGAATGAGAAGAAAAAGAAGCATTTTTAAAACAAATATAAATAATCTTTCAAATAAACTCCTTACAAACATTTTTTAATATTAGCATAGCAGCATAGCAGATTCATCACAAGAAGAATGAGCAAGAAACTTGTGTGTTGCTCTTTTGCATAGATGTCATTTTTAATATAAATAATTACAGTATAAAAAGTAAGAGGCATACGATAATCAACATAGAAATCGCTACGCATTCATTCATAGTGCAATCAGATAATATTGTCATTGTCGTTTTTCAGGCAGATTTATAACAGACTGGTATTTTGTTGTAAAACCTTAAGCAATTACAATAAAACGAATTATTTTACAATAGAACTTTAGTTAAACTACATTTAGGTGAAATCAGTTTGTTATTGTTACGTAAGATTTTATTAGTGTAATCACTAACTCTTTTGAAATGGTCTATATTCTTCTTGGCATATATGATATTTTCATAAATGTATTGAGAAGCAACGATGAGTATATTTGATTCCTTAAAGCACTCTCGTAAAGTAAATATAATGAACTTCAACACATGAATAAAAATGTATGTGGTTCATAACTCTAATAGCAAGCCTCATGGACCACAGTTTCTTGGTGGATTCAAAGCCTCAGAGCTAATCCAGCCATTTAAAATCGTATATCCCAAAAGCAAGGATTTTCTTTATGCTCTGTTTGAACTACGAGACAACAAATAACTGATCCGCGATTCTGTTAGACTAATATTAAATATTGTAATGGGTGAAAACTGTGATTGGTACAGCCTATGCTGTAAATAATATAAATGACGTAGTGGAGTAACTTGAAACAGTCATGCTCGCTATAAAGTTTAAACTAGTGGCGGCGTGGTGGGCCGGGTCAATATGGCTGGCTCATTCGTCATACTCATGAACGGGTACTGCTTGTGAGGACTGGTCTGTTCAGGTCTTCTCACCAAAAAGTCTAATCAATGTTCGTAACACTGATTAGACTTTTTATTAATTTATTATTAAATTATTTTGAAAATATATACTTAATATAAATAGAAAACACATAGAACGATACAAACAATCATACTCATTAATAGATACAAATAGCAAAGGTTTATACAGTGCGAGGAAACAAACCCACAACCGTCCAACCACCAAGGCCGTCGAATAATTAAATGAGAAAGTAATCAGCAAGACAAACTGAGAAGTATTGTCGACTATATTAAAATCTACGTACCTATTATACTGTTTTAAATTTGACGTGATAACTATTTATACGTATAATTAATAAAAATCACGGGATCTTACCGTAATATCGGGAACTCAATAAAAATAAATCGTGCTAAGATACCGTGATTTTTACTAATCTATCTATTGTTCAAAAATTTCTGGTATCAGTAACATGACAAAAGTGACGAAATAACAGAAAAATAATATTAAACTTGAACAGTTAACTCGCCCAACCATCAGTTACAATACAACATTCCTTAACACTGAATTCCAGTTAAAATTCAGCGAGTTAAACCCATTTGAGTAATGGCGTGCAATCTACACGCGACATCTGTAACGTATCGCGGGGTAATCCGATAAATATATATATATATATACTAGCTGTACGACTCACGACTTCGTCCGCGTGTAATTTAACTTTAGTTTTCTAAAATAAAAAAAAAGTAGCCTAAGTTACTCCTTATACATCAGCTACCTGCCAAAAAAAGTCCCGTCAAAATCGGTCCAGCCATTTCAGAGATTAGCCGGAACAAACAGACAGACAGACAAAAACTGTAAAACATGTTATTTTGGTATGTACCGTATTTATCTTCTATTTTTATTTATTTCTATTTTACCACATGCATATGAAAGCATGTAGTAAAAAACAGTTATTTAAATATTACAAACAGACACTCAAATTTAATTTATATGTATAGAAGATATATAACGATAATTTGTATCGTTCAGTTTGCTTGTTTTAATCTCTTGATTTGTGGCCCGTCATAATCCCGATCTATCACGCCTACAGTGGCGTTCAATGGCTCTCTTTGAGTACCGCTTTAGGTAATAAAAAATAAGACAGAGCGCATTCAAATTCAAAAATATTTTATTTTATAACACAGGGGACAAACGAGCATGCGGCTCACCTGATGGTAAGTGATTACCGCCGCCCATGTGCACCCACAACACCAGGGGAATTGCAAGTACGTTGTCGGCCTTTTAAAAAGGAATATGCTCTTTTCTTGAAGGTTTCAATATCGTATCGGTTCGGAAATATCATTGCTGGAAGGTGATTCCACAATGAGGTTGTGCGTGCCAAAAATCATTAATTCATGTAGGACATTTTAGCCGCTTATAGACATAATTTTTTTTATTATATATTTTTACCCTACCGTCCAGTTCAGTATATAGATTCAATTGAGAAGAACTGGCAAGAAACTTAATTGAATTTCCTATTTTATTTTTTAAAAGTCAGTTTATTTACAATGTATATTTAAATAGATGTCTATGTGTAACATTAAATGAAAATCCCGTGCATGAACAACTATTGCCATGCACGCTCGTCACTTAAGTAATCGTTTAGTGAGTAATAGGCTTTGCACAGATGTTTTAAATTTATTTAAGGATAATTCCAGTATATCCTTTGGTATCTTATTGAAAATTTTATAACTACCTTTCATATTTCTATACCTACATAAAATCCGTACTACTACTACTACTAAAATATAACTACTAAAAGATCAAACAATTGAAATTAGTTATATTCGAATTTCGACCCCC